CTGTCCTTGGAAAGGTGTCAAGCCCAGCTATCGGTCCCCAGGAGGCAGCCCCTTGGCCACGGCAACCACAACTCACGAAACCACCACCAAACAACTTGGACCTGGGTCCTGTTGGGCACCTGTCTAACTCTGCAGGGAGAAATGACACAGCAGTGGAGAAGAGGACAGAGGGTGCTAAGAGTCTCCCAACCATAAGGCCATCTATAAAGACCACCTTAATTAATACTCTAGATGTGAAGTACTTGACCAAGGAGTGGACACACTAATAGAGGAAAAGTATCTTCATCACTGACATTCTAATCATAAATGAAACCATCAAACAAGACACGCATTTTCAGACATGGGCAATACGTGTTGATTTGTTCTGCTTTACCACACTGAGAGGGGTGGGATGGGGGAAAGAGAATGAGTCAGAAGGGGATACAGAGCTATTTTGTGACTACCTCATTAAATGTAATATATGCTTGAAGAAAACTGTACCTAAGCTTGTGGATTCCTATACAACTAATCATCTCTCTTGTGGAAGATGGTTAAATTCGTAATACGGAAAAAGCATGGGAACAGAGAACAGAGGGAGCTGTGGCTAAGTGGTGGGATGGCTCCCAAGGTCGTCTTGGAAAGGCAGAGCTGTCGAGCCTCGGCTGGGCATCAAAAGCATCAAGACCGCCATGCCACACAACCTCAAGGCAGCTCGTATTATTCACGTGTAAGTATCTGCAAAAAGGTGACCAGCAGACAAACTGCAGCATTTAGACAAAGGGCTGGAGAATACAGAAATCCTACAAATTAAATCAACACAGTCGTGGATACTCTGTGACTCCAAACAAAGGAAAGAAGTGCGAATGGCAAAAAACACAATAGAAAACATGGATGGAGAACAAGGAGAGAGGGCAAATCCATGCATATCATGAATACTTTGTTGGAGAAAAGAACCTGAGGGTACTAGAAACGGCAAATGCCAAATACTGAAGTGAATCTGGGATCTCATCAGTTCAGGAATTCTCTCCTACCATGACATTCACAGCCCTCCTACGCCTGCCCATCCTAGGCCCTCAGGTCCACAGGACACACACCCTGGAGCTTGCCACGAGGGTCCAACTCATGAGCTGGGGCCTTCCTGGATGTCTCCTGGTTTCAGGGTCACCAGTGGAGCGCTCAAGTTGTCCACCTGTCATGCCTCCTTCTTGCCACTTGACGAGATTACCCAACGACAGCTTCTGCTCTCCCTCTTCTTCAAGGTTCCCTACTTGTTCCACATCTCATCTGGCTAAAGCCCATCATGAGCTTCTCCATCGCCCTCTGTGACAAACTCATTTTAATTCTTCAAATGTCTCCCTGCCACATAGCATCACTGGCTGAACACTAGCATTAAAAAGATGGGCCTTTACTTCCATGAGAGGCTTGAAGTCAGTAAAGGAGCGCTGCAATGTTCTGAAAGCCATCCAGCCCACTCTCTTCCTGGGCCCAATTCACTGCCCATCTGTACCATCTGTCTCAAAGAGCCAAGCTGATGGACAAGCCCTCTGGGGGGTCTGTCCAAATGCATACTGAAGTCTGGGCAAAAAAAAAATTCTCCATCCATTCATCTTCCCCGTATGGATGGGTAGTAGTGGATCTCCTCCAGAGTCTGCAGTGTTCTAGGGCTTGATGTAATAAGCAAAATGTCATCAGCAAACAGAAGGATCCAGAGGACTCACCTTCCTCTGAAATTTCCTCTTTGACCTGGGCCTCTCACTGGATCTCCAGCATATGCCTTTGGCAAGTGTACACCTCCATGTTCTATGCTTTACCTAACTTTGTGATCAGAGGGTCACTGAGTAGGAAGGAAAGAAAGGAGGAAACAAGCATTTATTAAGCACTTACTATATGCCAAGCACTGTGCATTATCTCATGACATTTTCACAACAACCCTATTATCTCCACTTTTACAGATGAAATCCTGAGGAAGAGGTTAAGGGACTTGTCCAGGGTCACACAACTACTAAGTACCCGAGGCCAGATTTGAACTCAAGTCTTCCTGACTCCAAGCCCAGCACTCCATCCACTGCACCTGGCTGTCTCAAACAGGGTTATTCTGTTGTTATATCTTCCAAGGACTCTTTGGATTTTGACATACGTCTGAGAGACAGACACGTTACTGTAAAAGAGACCGCAAGAGCTTGAGTTTTGTTCTACCAAATCAAATGCCTTTCATAATCAATAAATACTAAGCACAACGGGATCTTAAATTCTGTACATCTTTCAATTAACTGTGGAACGGTCAAGTTACGGTCCACGGTTAAAGGAGGCTTGCCAAAGTCAGCAATGTCACTTGAGAGAACTATCGAGCCAGGAAAGGCAGACAGACTGGATGAAGCGGCTGCAAGGGCTCGGAGAGACCAATACAAGGAGTATTTAAGGAGGAAAAGACATGGAAAAACCTCAGACCTCCATTCCCTTCAGCCACTGCAATCTGTAACAAGCATTCCCTAATCAATGGGCACTTACTTTTGTCTCCTGTTTTCGCAGCCACAAAAAGCTACTCTGAATATTTTTGGCAAACCTAAGACCTTTCTGTCTTTGACTTCCTCAGGGGACATGCCCAGTAGTGCAAATTGTTGGGTCAAAGGGGATGAAGAGTTTAGCAACTTTTCTCATGCAATTTTAATTTAATTTTGCAGAAAGATTGGACCAATCCACAGCTCCAGTACTGGGATATTCATAGGCCAGTCTTCTACTAGCCCCCAACATGGATTATTTCCATCGTTTATCATCTTTGCTAACCTGACAGGAGGAAGATGAAGACTCACGAGTTGCTTTAATTTACGCTATCAGTGACTCTGAGAAATTTTCCATGTGGTTACTGAGAGGTTGCACTCCTTTTCAAAATTCTTGTACCTTTACCTATTATCTATGTATCGTACACTTACCTATTAGAGTCAGAGGCTAGTCATATATTTGTGTTAATTCTCCATATCTGAATATCAGACATTTATGAAATGTTTTATTTAAAGGAGGAAATCTCTTCTGATTCTAATTTATTCATTTCATTCATGCAAAATCTTTTTTAAAAGTTTATCTATTGACTATTTTATTATCTCTTCTATCCTTCATTTGTTTAAGAATTCTATCCTTAGACATAACTGTGTAAGGTTTCTTCATTGTCCTCTAATTTTTTTTTATAATAGGACCTTTTTATATTTAGATCGTGTTCATTTGGAGATTGTGGCATATATGCATATATACACAGTGCATACATATATATGCACATACACATACATATATTTGATTATATATACAGTGTGCAGTAATATATATACATACACATATACTGTATATATAGTATATTGTACATATGTGTGTATGTACATACACACATATGGTATAAGATCTAACCCTATCTTCTGCCAAACTGCTCTCCTGTTTTACTAGCACCTCCTGTAAAACAAGGATCTTGTCCAGCAGCTTGGCATTAGGTATTTGTAAAACACTAGGCTACTGTGTTCAATCACTTTTAGGTCTTTCTTGTTCCAATGATCTACTTTTCTATTTTTGTAAACCGGTATAAACCATTTTGTTGACTATGGTTTAGCAGTATGATTTGAGATCCTGTAAAAAATGCTAGGTTCCCTTCACATCTTTTTCATGATCTCCCTTGAGGCTCTTGGCCTTTTGTTTTACCAGATTAATTTTTATTTTGTCTAGTCCTACAAAGTAGCCCTTTTGGGGCTACTGGTTGGTATAGCACTCTTTTTAAATTTAGGCAGCATATTCATTTTTATTATATTGGCATGACCTAGTCACAAACAACGAATCTCTTTCCAATTCCCTAAGTCTACCTTGATTTCTATAAAGAACATATGGCAGGCATTTATAAAAATATTAAGTGTGTCTCCGCAGGTTAACTCCCAGGTGTCTTACGCAGGTTGTGATTAGTCCGAATGGAATTTTTCTAACTCTTGCTCCTGAGTCTCATTGGTGATATGCAGAAAGGCTGATGGTTTTAGGGGTTTATTCTCCAAAGGATGAGACCTAAGCATGCTAACAAGATGTGGAATTTGGTGTTGGGGCCAGGACTGCCTTGCTTCAAACCATAGGGGAAGTGGGTGGGAAGGGGGCAGTTTCCTGTTCAGTAAAGGCAGAAATAGTAGGGCTGTTGTCCATTCAGCTATAATGGGCTCAGAGAGAGATGATTTTCTAAGCAGCTGTGACATGGAGGGAGGAAGTTTAAGACCAGAGATCACGGGATCATAAACTGGAAACTGAAAGGGATTTTAGTGACCATCCAGTTCACTGAGATTAAATAACTTGCCCAAAGTGAGAGGCAGGATTTGAACCTAGGTCCTTCAGAGCCAGCGATCTTTCTACTGTACCACACTGCCCTCCATGGTTCTCTATCCAGCTGTGACTGGGGGAGGGAGATGGCTCTCGCTGCAGATGTGTCAAGAGAGGGTGGCTTTCATTCCAGGTGTAACGGGAGGAGAGGGTGGCTCTCTCTCCAGATGTGACAAGGGGGTGGCTCTCTCTCCAGATGTGTCAAGAGAAGGTGGATTTCATTCCAGGTGTAACGGGGGAGAGGGTGGCTCTCTCTCCAGATGTGACAAGGGAGGGTGGCTTTCACTCCAGGCGTGGTGTGGCTCTGTGTCTCCAGATGTGACGGAGGGAGGTAGTTCTTTCCATATGTAATGGGGGGGTTGTCTCTCTCCAGATGTGACAAGGGGGTGGCTCTCTCCAGATGTGTCAAGGGAGGGTGGCTCCCTCTCCAGATGTGATGGGGGGCCTGTCTCTCTCTAGATGTGACGGGGGAGGGGCCTCCCTCTAGAGCTGTGACAGGGAGAGGACACGTCTCCTCCATCCAGCTGTGACTAGGAGGGCGCGGTGGGTCCCCCCTCCAGCCGTAGCCCTGGTTGGGGGCGGTGGGTTGGGGGCAGCCAATCCGACCCCCATCCAGCTGTGGCCAGGACTGTTGGGAAGGGGGCGGGCCGGGGGGAGGGGGCGCCGGGCCTGGAGGGCCTCCTTACCTGAACTCCCCGGATCCGCAGCCGCTCAGCGCCCGGTTCCCGGGCGGCCCATCAGCCGCCCCCCTCCTGGCCCTCGCAGGCCCGGGCCGCCTCAGGCTTCTCCGGCTCTGTCGCTTCCGACCCCGAGGACGCGGAGGAGGGTGGGGGGGGAGAAATGAAGGCTAGTCCGAGGCCGGCCAGGGACCGTCGCCAAAGAGCCTCACCTCTCGGGCACCGAAACGCAGAAATCACGGCCCCGTCTGGGGAAAAGACAGGAGACAGCTCGGCCCTGCCTGAACTCCCGGCGTCCGGTAAAGAAACTAGCCGAAAAGCAGTCCGCTGGGGGAGGGAGGCCGGGGACTGTGGAGATGGAAAAAAAAGTCCAAACTCGCCAACCAGTCGGGCCTAGGAGCTTATCTATCATCCCTAGGTGCAATGTCCAGCCCCGCCTCTCCATCACGGAGTAGCCAATAGGACTGAAGCACTCTGAAGTCTCGGCTTAAAACAGAAAGTAAATAGCAAAAGTAACCAATAGAGAGCGGCAGGAGGCGGGACGTACTGGCTCTTCTCTTAAAGAGACAGTCTTTGGTCCTCTCGCCAGGAAGACTAGCCTTGCACCTTTTCTGTAACCCACAGCCGTACCCCTCCACCTAGGAGCAGGGCCACGCGATGGACATTAGGACTAAAAGGGACCACAATGGTCCAATTCCTTTGTATTACCGATGAGGAACCTAAAACAGAGAGGTTGTGACTAGTTAAAGATCACACATCGAGTGTAGTTTATGCAACCTGGATTTTGAACCCAGACGTGGCCTGCTTTCCCCTCTCCCACAGTATGCCGCTTCTTTTGTTTGATTTTTTTTATAGTATTTTTAAAATATTAAATAAATATGGAGAACAATTTGGAACTATGCCCAAAGGGCTACAAAAATGTGCATACCTTTGATCCAGCAATAGCACTTCTAGGGCTACATCCCAAAGAGATCAAACAAATGGGAAAAGAACCCACATGTACAAAAATACTCATAGCAGCTCTTTTGTGGTGGCAAAGAATTGGAAATTGAGAGGATGCCCATCCATTGGGGAATGGCTGAGCAAGCTGTGGTATATGAATGTAATGGAATACTATTGTGCTATAAGAAATGATGAACAGGCTGACTTTTCAGAAAAACCTGGAAAGACTTATATGGTCTGATGCTGAGCGAAGTCAGCAGAACCAAGAGGACTTTGTACACAATAATAGCCACGTTATTCGATGACTAATATTGTTAAACTGAACCCTTCTCAGCATCCCGAGGATCTAAGACATCTCCAGAGGCCTCAGGATGGAAAATGCTGTCCACATCCAAAGAAAGAACTATGGAAGTCGAATCACTATCACTTGTTTTTACCTTCTGTTGAGTTTTGTTTCATCTTTCTGATGGTTCCTCCTATTGGTTTTAATTTTTACTTACAACTTCACTAATATGAAAATATGTTTAATGGGTATGTAAATGTAAAGCCTGTATCAGATTGTGTACCGTCTTGGGGGGGGAGAAAAATTTTCAACTCAAAAGCTTATGGAAGTGATTGTTGATAAATCAAAATAAATTAATAAAATTTTTTTAAAAAGGAAACAAAATTAAATAAATATTTGTTTAGGAGGCCATCCAGCCCCTCCCCGACTCATTGAAAAGGAAAGTGATACATGTGAAGTTATGCAAAACTTATTTCCATGATAGCCATATTGCAAAAAAAGGAGCAAAAAAAATGAAGAAACCGAGAAAATTGTATTTCGGTTTGCGCTTAGAGTTCATCAGTTCTCTGGAGGTGAATAACTTTTTTTCATCATGAGTCCTTTGGAATTGTCTTGGTACCCAAATCTTTCTGCGTTGATCATTCTCACAACATTGCTGGTACTGTGCACGGTGATCTTTGGGTTCTTCTCACTTCACTTTGTAGCAGTTTATATAGGTCTTGCCATGTTTGGGTTTTTTTTTCTGAAACCACTCCCACTCATCATTTCTTTTAGCATAGTGTTCCATTACAATCATATGCTACTTGTTCAGCCACTCTCCAACTGATGGGCATCCCCCCCCCCGCTTCCAATTTTTTGCTGCCACAAAAAGAGCTGCTATTAATATTTTCAGTATGCCATTTCTAACAGATCTGGCCCAGTGAGAATTAACTTAGAGTACCTATCTTCAAGAACCAGGAACCTCCCTACGGACACCCACTGCACTTCTGCTTTCCTTTACAGCAAAGAATAATTGGATTTCAGAGTTGAAAGAAAACTCCGAGGACATATAGGAGACAATGATTGAAGAAAATAACTTACTGGATTTAGAGCAAAGTGGCTCTTAGAGCACATAATGTCAGGGCTAAAAGGTACCATCTTGTCCAATTCCCTTATTTTACAGATGAGTAAACTGAGACCCAAAGACAAAAAGTGATTGTCCAAGATGTCAGGGGTAAAAATACAAGAACCAGGGTTCCAGACCAGGTCCTCTGCCTCCAAGTTCAGTGCACAACAGTGCAATGGATTTGGTATCAGACCTGCTACTTATTCCTTGTGTGACCTTGGTCAAGTTACTGTATGCCTCGAATGGGATATTTGTAAGGCACTCAGCCCATGTTGTTTGTAGTTTAGTTGTTTCAGTTGTGTCTGACCCTGCATGATCCCATTTGGAGTTTTCTTGGCAAAGAGACTGAAAAGGTTTGTCATTTCTTTCTCTAGCTCATTTTACAGATGAGGAAACTGAGGCAAACAGGGTTAAGTGACTAGCTCAGGGTTACTAGTAAGTGTCTGAGGTCAGATTAGAACTGAGGAAGATGATGAGTCTTCTAGACTCCAGGCCTGACATACGGTAATTGTTTAATACATGTGTGTTCCCTTTCTTTCCCCTTCTCCCTCAACCTCAGTTTCCTTATCTCTAAAATGGGGGGAGGAGTTGAATTAGGTAGTCTCTAAGGTTCCTTCCAATGCCATGTTCCTATCACATCTAGCTTCTCTACTGGGCTGCTAACAGGAAGGAAGCCAAAATAACAAAAAAATTGTAAGGATAATTGAAGCCGACTCAATCTATCAGCCAGCGTCAAAGACCAGATCTGGGACCCTAGTGAGAGGTATAATTATCCTACTGAGTGAGGAGCCCCTGAGAAATAGGGCTGAGAATGGGCAGTCTGAGGCAACAAGTGTGTAATAAAGTAGAAATAAACATGGGAACTTCCAGCAAAGGATGAAGGGAAATCCCTCTGAGTCAGGAAAGCCCATCAGAAAGGATTAGCCATTGGAAACCACTGAGAGCCAAAAGCTGATGGGTAGGAAGTCTGACTCAAGGCCCTTTCCCTAAGCAGGGATTTCAGCAGGGCTATGAGCTTTGCCTTCACTCTCCCATCACAGCCCAGGGTCAGAAGGTACCGTCACCCACAGCTGACCACTTCTTTCTCTTCCTATCCCAGTGATACGGAATCCCGGGCTGCCTAGGTGAAAAACACCTGCCACTGTTATCTCTATATCCTCCTCAGGCCCACTTTTCCCACTTCCGCTCCAACTGTGCAGAACCCCTTCCATTGTGACTGCTGGAATTCCCCTTCCCTCCTTAACAAACTTCTCTTTACGTTTGACCTTCATGCCCTACAGATGGTTTATCGGAGAGGGTGTTAGACCTGGCTTCACACCCCACCTGGAATACTTACTAGCTGTGTGATCCTGGGCAAGTCACATAACCTTGGTTTGCCTCAGTTTCCTCAACTGTAAAATAGGGGGAAATAACAGCATCTACCTTGAAGGATTGTTGTCAAGATCAAATGACGCCATGTCTCCAAAGCCCTTAGCACAGTGCCTGGCACGTAGAAGGCGATTAATGAATGTTTGTTCCCTTCCCTAGTTCCCTCAGAAGGAGAATGACAGGGTTGGTCTTGAAGGCTTTCAAGTTTTCTTCCCATTTTACATCTCCAGCCTTAGAAGCCTAAGCTCCTTCCATCTTCTGACTCTCTCTAACACCTGACTCCCATCAATAACACTGCTTCCCTGGACTTCGTTCTTTCAAGTACTAAACACGTCTTCCTTCATACTCTCTGACTCACTTGACTAGGATCAGGGAGTTGGAATACTCCTTGCTTCCCATTACCACTTCTAAGACTGTCTCTCAGACACTTATTAGCTGAGGGACCCTGGGTAAGTCACTTAATCCTGTTTGCCTCAGTTTCCTCATCTGTAAAATGAGCTAGAGAAGGAAATGGCAAACCACTCCAGTGTCTTTGCCAAGAAAACTCCTAATGGGGTCGCAAAGAGTTGGACATGACTGAAATGAGTGAACAGTAAGTGTTTAATAAATGCTTGGTGATTGATTAAATTGAGCCCCATCATTCCACTTCAACCAGGGACAAATAGGGCCATACCCTTGATCTTGCCGTCCCCCATATGTGTCCCACTTTTATGATCAAGAATCCTGAAATTCTTTTAATTAGCCACAACCTCTTATGTGATTTTATCTTTTCCTATGCCTTACTCCTTTATAATCTTTGGCAATTCAAAGAATATAAATGAAAGTGGCCCAGAGTAAAATCAGCCAGGCTGAGACCAAATTGGGGTTAAAAACATTCTGGGGAAAGAGTTACAAATTCACAGACTAATTGATTAAAGTAAAGTGAGGAAGTATTTTGCACTGCCCTGCCTAGGGACAGAAAGGCTGCTCCTGGGAAAGGCAATTTCCTAGAGTCCTTTGGGAAGTATCACTCTCTAATCTACCTGTAGCTCTTTACAGGAATGCCAAGTTCTAAAAGTCTGACAGATAAGAGAGCTTAGAATCCTGATGCCACAGCTGTCTGTACTCCAGGCCTTCACTTTCCTCTCACTTCTCAATTCCTTGTAATCTGGCTTCCAAATACATCACCCAACTGAAACTGCTCTCCCAAAAGTTATCAATGATCTTTTTTAATCTTTCATTTTATTTTTCAATTAACAAGCATTTATTTTTTCTCCCTCCCACTCCCCTGACTTCAAAGAAAAAAAGAAAAAGAAAACTCATGTAACAAATATATATGTATTTTATATGTGTGTATATAACATATATATGTGTGTGTGTGTCTATATATGTGTGTACATATGTGTGTATATATAATTGAAGCTGTGTGTATATATACGTATGCATGTATATATATACATGTGTGTGTGTGTTAT